GGCCGGAGGGCGGGGGGGGGACAGGAGGGAAGAGCCGGCCGGGCAGGTCACGTGGGGCCGGTACAAAAGGCCAAAGCCAAAGTGGGAGGAGGACCTGATGGGGCTGGAGGCCAAGAACTGGGGGTTCCTTCTTGTCTTTCTCACGCGGTTAGGTCAGGCAGATAGCGGGAAAAGGAAATGGTATATCCCCATTACACAGCTGGGGAAACTGAGGGCAGGCGCATGGGTGGGGTGGCTTCAGTATGGCACGGAAATCCGGTAGCCAGACTATCTGAACTCCTGATGATGTCTGTTTACAGTTAGCAGATCCTCCCTCCCCACTTCTGTGCTCACACCCCACTTCCACAGTAACTCTCCCGGAACCCGAGGTCAAGAGCTGGGGGAGTGGGGAGGGGACAAAGAGCGGGGAGGAAGTTGCCTCCCTTTATCATTCCCTTTTGGCTCCCATCGCACCCCACACATGTCACCCTACTGTAGGAAAAAGAGTAGGTGCAATGAGGAGGGAGGAGAGGGTGGAAACTTAGACACCCGTGTGAAGCCCTTTCACCACAATGACTTCATCCTCCCCACATCCGAGAGGCTTGTTGGACCTTACCAAGCCGTTTTTAAAAGAAACAGCAAAGACTCAGGTCCAGTGACTTACACAAGGTCACATAGCTCTTTTGTGGCACACACCTGAGTTTCAAGGCTTGATCTCTTTTGTTCCAGTGCTTGTCTTCTACCCATTCCCTATGCAGAATTGCTCTTTTCCAAATTGAAAGCTGAACCACGAACTGGCACTTTTCATGGCCTGTCTTCTGGTGGCATGTATGTTTCTTTGTCTTATCTCTCATCTAGTAAACTCCTTGAGGCAGAGATTGAGTCATACGTTTTGTTTTGTTTTGTTTTGTTTTTTCTGCAGTAAATGACAAAAAGACATACTAAATGCTTAATAATTCTTAGTGGAAGTGTATTCCTGCTACTGGACTTTTAACTGCTGTGTACCCCTCTGTATAAACTGTCCTCCCCATACCTCATGTTATCTCAGCGTTCCCTTGTAAAACCACCCTCTCACTCACTGCCTTAATTTTAATGTGTATCTCCTTTCTGAACTCTTATAGTATTCACCATTTGCCCTATTCCTTTGGCATTTGATACATTGCTCTTGCGTACATTTAATGACTCTATTCCCAAACATATGCTCTTCTGCAATACCTCTTTGCATCTCCAGCAGCATAGTCTTGTACAAGCAGTACAGATTAAAAAAAAAAAAAA